AAGGCATAGGCATAAAAGATGACGACTTCTTTGCGGATATCTTAGACCCCAATGACTGATAGTTCCCCTACTCAAAAAACCATCTCTTGACCGTGAAGAGCTTAGTAATTACCGGCCCATTACCAATCTGATGTTTGTCTCAAAACTAACTGGTCGCGTGGCAGCCTCACAAACATTATCTTATCTCCAATCCAATGACTTGCTATCGAAATTCCAATCAGCATATCACACCATCCACCATGACGCACTTCTAGACAGACTTCATACTAGATACGGAATTTGTGGAACTGCTATCGAATGGTTCAGATCCTATATTATTGACCGTCACCAACAGGTCGTCATTCATGGAACCCCATCTCGTTCGGTGCCACTACATTTCGGCGTTCCCCAAGGGTCAGTTTTAGGACCTTTGCTGTTTGCTCTGTTTTTCGCACCCATTGAAGACGTCATCTTAGCACATGAGCTAAAAGTCATGGTGTATGCTGACGATACACAATTTTATATATCAATTAAATCGATAGGTGATCGTCCTTCTGCACTATCACAGCTTGAAGCATGCACAAAGGACGTTCTTACCTGGTGTACCATCAACGGCTTATCCTGTAACCCTGACAAGACCGAGATAATCTACCTGTCATCTCGTTTCTCTAAAGTACCACCAATTCAGTCTTTCAATGTTAATGGATACAGTATCTCACCATCCAGTTCAATACGTAGCCTTGGTGTTACCCTGGATTCTCACCTCCAGATGTCAAATCACGTTAACATGCTTTGCAAGTCTGCCTTTTTCTCACTAAAGAACATCGGCAAGATTAGAAACTTCCTCGATCGTGACAATATTGAGCGTCTTGTTCATGCATTCATTTCTTCAAAAATTGACTTTTGTAACGGTATTCTTTATGGCCTTCCAGGCGAAGAAATCGATAAAATCCAGCGCGTCCAAAACGCTGCAGCAAGACTTATCACTAGCTCCAAGAAATATGAATCTATCAGTCCTGTACTTATTGGTCTCCATTGGCTTCCAGTCAAAGCTCGTATTGATTACAAAATACTCCTGACTGTTTTTAAAGCACTAAATGACATGGCTCCGGTCTATATAACTGAACTTCTTAAAAGATACAATCCAACGCGCACACTACGTTCTGCTAATCAAAATCAATTAATCATTCCAAAAACTGCCAGTAAAACTTACGGTGACAGAGCGTTCTCAGCCGCCGCCCCCGCTCTCTGGAACAAAATTCGTCAAGAGATAAGAGCCTTGAGCTCACTTAATTTGTTTAAATCTAAATTAAAAACTTATCTATTTCTTAAATATTATTATTTATAGTTTTTACCTAGCAAATCATTTTATTTCATGTATTATATTATCTTTTTTAAGAAATTGTAATATTATATATGGTTGTTAACCTGTCATTTTTAGTGTAATTTCTTTCTTCTATCGTAAAGTATTGAAACTTACTAAATTATTATTATTATTATTATTATTATTAATGAGTTATCTGGACATCTTAAGTTTTGGCATAGACAATTCCCTAAGAATACGCAAACCCTTCTTATACTGGATGACATTGCCTGTGGGGGTGAAGTAAAAAGACGCACTTCCGAGTTAGTAGAGCTTGCTTTCAGCGGCAGACATGACAACATTAGCGTTTGGTTGCTCTCCCAACAGCTTACCAGCGTTTCTAAGCCCTTCAGGGAAAACATAGGCTCTTTGGTTGTCTTCTACACGCCCAGTAAAAGCGATCTGGAAACCATTTTAAGCGACTATGGCGGCGAGATAAGCAATGAAAAGCTGCACGCATACATGCGGCATCTAAAAACGCACCAACATTCCAAGATGATCTTCTCTTTGAGGTTTCCGTATGGCAAGTCAATATATATGGAGATTGAGCAGCTCATAGATGAAGTCCCTATGCAAATTAACGAAAGTAACCTTAAGGAACAACTTAACATCCTTGTGTCATCTGGAAGAAATGATAGGCAGGGAACTTAACCATGAGCAAGCTAATAAGTTGTCAGAAGAGGAAGTTAAGAAGTTCCATAAGAGGTATGAGGCTGCCCTTGCAAGTAAGACTACCGACGCCGTAGCAGACTCAGTAATTAAGTTGGCCACTAAGTAAGCTTCTCGGACTTGCACTGCCCATAGACGACGTGGAGCAACTGCAGAAGGACATAAGAGATGACTATGTCATATCCCAAGAACTTAAGATAACCTGCGGGTGGTTGTTCTTTGAAGTGTGGTAAGTTAATGGCAGTCGCCTCTGCAGCACTTCACGTAGCTCAGCATGTCGACTTGAAGGAGGTTCTAGGTTCCTTTGGAACACCTTGGAAGGACTTTAAGAAGGACAGAGAAGTCGAAAGGCACTTGCCGAGGTACCTGACCAAGTCGTCTCAAGTACTTAGCCAAGTCATACCCAAGTCATCCTTAAGTACCTGTCAAGTCATTCCCAGGTCGTTCCTAAGTTACTTATCAAGTCCTTCAAGTCCTTAATATAAATGAGTGAACCCGAACCAAGCGCAGCGTAACAACCTCGAGAAGAGGAGCAGAAGATAACCAAGGCTAAGTCTCCCGGCAGAGTAGCCGCGGGGAAGAAGCTCGCGGAGATGAACAGAAAAAACAAAGCAAAAAAGGAAGAACCAAAATGCGAACCCTCTTATTTAAACCCAGGCTACGTAATTGGTGCGTTAGGAGTCGCGTTAGCCGCAGGCAGTCTCTACTTTCAATGGAAGTTTGCAAAGGAACCAAAAGTGGAATGGAAACCAGTGCATGTGACGCAGAAGAGTACAATACCTTCTCGCTTTTTAATATAATGTCAACCGCGTTATTGAAAACTGTTGAAGAAGCAGCTATTATTACTTCCATTGTTGCGGGTATTGGTTGGGTAGGTAAAAAAGTGCTTAAAGAAGACTTTACCGAAGACCCAAGTAAGAGCTTTACTAATTTTGCCAAGATGACCGCTGCCGTAGGTGGGGATATCTTGGTAAAGGATTACCTACGGAAGGAAAAGTACCTTCCTAACATATAAATGGCTACCTTGGTCGCAGGCGGAATTATCGCAGCTTTAGCATTTACTGGAGCTAATTATGGTGGTCAGTATTTGGATAGATTAGTCAGAGGCGATCATAGTGACGCTGCTGAGAGGAAAAGGCATGATTTGGCGCTGGAAAAGTATCAAAAGGACGTGGCAGCTTGGAATGAAAAAAGACAAGCGTACAGGGATTGGTTGGACAAGAACTACGCGGACAAGATGCATGCCGACAAGAACTTCGAAAATACGAATACTACGCTTTTAGGATTTATGCGCAAGCACACCCCGACTTCAAAATTAGCAAACCTCAGCTTAAGAATTACTACCAGCCATCGAAGGAGCAAAAAGATAGCGAGCTGGTCTTTGTTGGTATCGCAGGGCTGGCCGGAGGAGCCGCCTTGGCGTATTTTATTTAGCTACTCGAGCTTCGAGCGTAGGATATAATGATCGTCTTTTTGGAAAGCGACAAGAATAACTTTACCACTTATTCAAATCCCCCCATTAAAGCCCATAAGGTTCGCCTCATAAGTTGCTCTTCATACAATTCTTGGTATAACTTGATCAATGGCATGGTCACTGAGCATACGGGAGGATCTAACTATCAAGGCGCAATGCTCCCAAATGGACATTACACCCCAATTACCCTGGCCAAGGAATTAGCAAAGTACGGCTATGCTCTTACCACAGGATTGCAGCACGAAATGACTTTCAAGCATAACCTACCTAACGATTATTCAGTAGCCCTAGGAAAAGACGATGCATTGGGATCTTTATTAGGTGTTTCAGGCAAGACGATCACCAACACAGCCATACCTGTGAAATGGAAAGTTGCATCCTCTTATGAAATCTATTGCGATTTGGTCAATAGCTACGATGGAAAGCCCTTTCATTTGATGTCAAAATTCCCGCCCAAGGGCAATCCATTTGACCTGGTAGAATACACTCCCATTTCTTTAAACTATGATTTGTCTCGCGAATTGGTAGAAAGCATTAACATCACCATTAAAGTGGACGGAGAAATGGTAAACTTTAACGGGCGAAAGATCAATCTCGTCTTGGAATTCATATAATGCCCCGCGTAGAGGACAAACTCAAGAGGATTTACTATGGGCCTGAAGGCTATTGGAGAGGAGCGTCAGCTATCAAGAAACTTGCAGCTGCGGCTAGGGTATCAGAAGAAACGGCTAAGAACTGGTTAAAAAAACAAACCCTCTGGCAGGT